TAAAGATTTGCCTTTAAAGAACACATTGGGAATAATGGGATTAACAGATTAACAAACAGAATTGACCAATGAAAAATGGACTTTACTCCCCTGTATCTAGGTTTGATGGTTCCTCATAAGTGATAATTCAGTTAAATTTATTGACCCAGAAAGATATTATGCGTCCGTGTTGAAATTTCAAATTTGCTGAGGATTTATAGGATTGTGAAAAGATACATGAAGTGTGTTAGGTCAAATTAGGTGCATTTCCTGCCTTATTTCACTGCTGGTTCTGTCTGGACTGAGAGTTCAAAACCACATATTATTTACACCACAAATATCATCGATTACCTCTAAATTTACACCCTTTCAGCGTAAAAACTGCAAAAAAAAAAGGAAGTATGGCCTTAACAAAATGATCAAATGAAATAATGATTTTTTATTTTACCCATTTCTTGGTACTTTTAAAAATAAATCAATTATCAATAAAGACATGTCAGTTGAAGGCTTTCTGAAGGGGAATGCCTGGCTAATTGGCATGTTCTGGTGTGTTTTGCTACTTGAGTTTCTTGCTTGGTCTCACAGACCGTGAAGGGCATCGGGTACATTTGGTGGGTTGTGTGTGGTATGTGGTGAAGTGAACTGAATTCCCTCAGCTTTTTTCTCCTTTTTTTTAATTAAAAATATTTCATACATCGAATCAAGTATATCTGAATTTTTTTATTATTTATTTATTTATTTATTTTATTATTATTATTTTATTTTATTTTATTATTATTTTTTTTAATTTTTTTATTTATTTATTTATTTTTTGTGAATATTGAATATTTCCTTGGGACATTAAAAATGAGACAAGACAATTCACTTATCTAGTACACTTATAATTATGAAATACTCAATGGTCAAATTCTGAGAGGTTTTTAATTATTCACGTAAATATTGAGTGTAAATCAAGAAATGTATGTAAGCATATTTCTGGTGCATTTTTCAAAATCTGTTTTTGATTTTTGACTTATTGCTTGCTTTAAATATAAGCCTTGTACAGCTTCTTACTACTTAGCTGGCTAGAACTGTACAGCTTCCTATGAGTTAGCTGGCTAGAACTACCCATTTGTTTTAGGGAAATAGAACCATTATCTATGCAGCTGTATTTTGTATTATACTGCTTTGTATATGTTTGCACTGGTAATAGCATTAGTTTTGTTAAGATGAAAAATTACTTAAATAAATAATATCAAACATAAACCTAGAATGTATTGCTTTTGGATTTTTTTCTACTTGTAGAGAAGTTTGAGACAATCTAACTGAGACTGGAAGGTTGACTGACAAAAATATTTCCCAATTTCCATAATTGTCTGTGTCAACACAGTATAGGAGGCTTCAAAAATTTGGACATACGGGGTAAAAACAAATTAAAATTAATTGTAAATCCTGTGCTGTCTAATGGCATATTGATAAATTTTCAGTTACTGATCAGTTTTAACTGTCCATGGTATGACACAGACATAATATTAATTTTTCTATCTTAAATTGGGATCAGATGTTATGCTTGCTAGCAATCAAAATTTGATGTCAGAAATAGACTTGAAAGCAAGGTTGCATCTGTATCTTATTGACTGATATGACTAATGCACCACACGAAATAACTTCATTGCTATTTATATATTTGCAAGACTACAACAATGTACAAAGTTGCCTCTTCAAAATAAAAGTGATTACAGGGCAATTGGAAAACAACAATATCATCTGCTCATGCGTAATTTTCACATATAACCATAGTATCTAAACTTATAACAACGTGATTAAGTCGACATATCGATGAATCTTCGAAAAGTAACACAACAGCAAGCTCAACATCGATTGCGAATGTGATCACAGCACAGTCGGCACAACTACTGCAATGTCTTTGCCTGTATTCTCCCAGGTTTGCCAGTTAGTGCAATCCGTTACATACTAATGTGTATATCGACTGTTCACGATCAGTGATATGAAAACTTGATTTGTACTTATACTTATATAGACCCACAGAAGCTCACCTGTTCCAGTAGAATTTTTGATTATAGGGTCAAGGTGTGTAAACTCTGTACAAATGTTAAATAACTAAGTATCGTTTCTTTGCTTCTGTAAACACAAACAATTTGAAAGCACTAAATTCATCAACCTGTCCCCCCTCATACCGCCGTCTAACGAATCCCCGTCACCAAAATGAACTAATCTCTGGTAGAGTTCATCAGAGGTAAAGGATCATAGATATTGTACTTGTTCATAATTATGGAAAAATGGACCTGGCAGGCTTCTGAATCCTTCGAAAATACACCGTTCCAAACAACTCCGTGCCTAATTAAAATATGGTCTATTTCTTGGATTCGGGCATTACTCTTCTATAGGCTATTTGGAATAACGTTCTCTACTGGCCTTCCAATATATGGATATAAAGGCTTTCATGTTTCCGGAAACGTTATGAGTCTAGACCAAACTTATTGATCACGAACGAGTCCAAGATATATATATATATTGAGGGTTGGGGGGGGGGGGTTTACCATGTAGGCCCAGGAGTGTTATGAGTGCCCTTAGTTCATAGAGGGAAATGAAACTGGACCCCCCATCCCCGTTTTTAATGACGGAGAGGGGGGGGGGCATTTCACAGGTACATATGGTGCCAAAACTGCATGTCATGCATTGGGTTTGGAGGCCTAGGCACCGCCTGAAGATTTGCGACACAGAAACGTTCTAAACTAAGTTTGCGCCAAGAAGGACAAAAAAGACACAATCTTGAAGCTCCTCCCTTACGAATAAGTCTTATAGGAACCTATAAGATCCTATAGAATCGCATAAGAATTAAGCCCAATTTCCTATAGGATCCCATAGGACTTTTTCATTAGGGCTGTTGTGCCACGTTTTTTTTTATTTTTTTAATTAAAGATCAGCGAAATTAAAGGGTATTTTTGAGCAGATTTCACGTAAGAATAATTTTTGTAATTGGCGTTAAAAGTTTATAAAACTTTCACAGCTTGCCGTAGGAGCCATTTTCCATATAAAAGACACAAAACCAAAGAACGCGCTCTCTGCAAGTTCACAACATGTGCGTCATAACTTTTACGCTAAAAACAGAAAAACTGTGATGATTCCATAAAACAACTGCTGGAGCAAGTGAGCATACTATGACTTCATCATTAATGATCGTCAAAATAATGTAGATATGCTTTTTGCAGGAAATATCCCGATAAAAACAGCCAGAAAATATTTTTGAAAATATATTATTTCATCATCGTATTTCATTCGTTTCATTTGTTGTACACTTAAAAAGGGACGTCTGTAGACGCATGTAGCTCTTGGTATCGCTATTTGTGCTATCCAGAGTAACAAATATCGCATTATTAAGCGTCACTGAAGAAATGGGTCAGCATATTTTGTGAACACCCTTGGGTAGAAAAACTGACGTCTGTTTTCATCTTTTATATTGTAATATGACACCACTAAGTCTGTCAAAAAATCTGTTTCAACGAAAAGCATTAAGACAGGAGAAACTTGTCCTCGTTGACTCCATGTGATTGGCCAGTCCTGAATCAAAGTTCAGGGCGGCATTATAAAGTTCTCTTTTCATCGATTTTATTTCTTTTGTCAGTTTTGTATGCTATTTTTATCCAGTGGGTGCCCCTTTACCACTGCGTCGCTGGTAACTAAGCGACTCTGAAAGCGAGGCCGTTCATTGTAAGGTCCCAGTGCCATACACAAACATACTGTAGGTTCCTGTTGCTAATGGGCCTTACATTAGGGACGTGAGGTTTCAGTGAATTTCGCCTTGGTGGTGGCAGTCATTGAATCAGTTGGACAGCAGATAGCTAGGCGTTATCAACCTAGAGGTACGTATGTCATTTTCAGTCTTTTTAATGAAGATATAACTTATTCACCAAGGGCTTGATTAAGAGCTAAATCGGAAAGTGTTACAGAGATCGAGTAAATACAGTAGCATTGAAAGTCTCCCGCGTCAATATTTGTACGTTTGCCCTTAGTACACGATAATAAACCGAGAGCAAACCGCGCAATCAAAATGAAAATTAGAAACAATTTTAGGTATCAAAAGTTTATAAAATGGGTATAATTTAAATTTCGAGTATATCACCAAAGCAATTTGATTTTTTAAATGGTCCGTGAGGTATATAGCACCGGTATGCTTGCTGTAAATATGTAAATTAATTGTACATGAAGAAGCTATAGTTTCTCAATTATTTGAGCCTAAATCCTCATATCTTAGTAACTGTTAAAACAGTTAAGCTTGGGCCTAAGAAGAAAACTGTAAAATAACTTTGAAATTGATCCCCAAATTTGTTAAAAAAATACTTTAATGCAGATATTATACTGTTCCCTAAAATGGTCGAGACCCTTTAATCATTTTTCAGACTCATTACTTGACTACGGTCCATATATTTGAATAGTTTCAGGTACCTTTTAATGCCTATCACATTTTGTCACAGCTGGTATCTTTAATTGAAAACATACTTGTGTAATTTTTTTTTCTTTTTGCTTCAACCATCTGCCTCTAAAACTTACTTAATGAAAGCTCAAAAGCAAATTTGTTTATTGTAATGATTAAAAAATGATTTTTATATGTAATGGGGTTAACATTAATTAACATAGGTGTGTGTCTGATTTAATACTTTCACAATGTTTCTCTCTGTTTTAAAAACTCCTTGTATATGTACATCTTACAGATATTCCACAGAGGGTATAATTTGTCACCAAGGAGCTGTCACTATATATCCCTTACCTTTACTTTATATATTTATGATAAGTAATCCTAGCCCTACTACGCAATATGGTGCTTTATCTTTGTTGAGAATATGGTATCACATATTTATCAACTTAATAACATCATTTATGTAACCAGTGTTGATGATGAAGCACAGAGATTATTAGGCAGAAGCTTAAAGATGTGTGCTTAATCATGTGTGTAAAACATTTGTGTAGTGTCAACTTCACATTTTCTGTCCATCCAAAAAAAGAAGTGTTTTTCAAATTTTCAAATTGGTCTAAATTTGCCCAAGGTCCTACCTAAATTCTTTGCCGTCTCTGAACATATAGGGTTTCATACGTAATGTCCTATATCAATGGTGTCCTGCAAATGCTCATAGGTTTGAAACTATTTTTGTCATATTAATCTTATAAATTTTAAAAATGTAATTTTATGCTTTAAATCCTCCTGTTTTACCTTTACAGTAAACTTAAACAGATAAGTGTGTGCATACGTTCATGTGCATCTGCATGTGTGCCTGCATGTCTCTCCTGCTCACCACGAGATTCAGACCTAGTGAAGAATAATCTTCTTAACCAGCCTCTTCATGTAGTTTCCAATTAAGAGGAAAATTTCAGTCAGTATTCCAAAACTTAAGGTCTTCCACTCATAACCAACATGTGATTGAATCATTAACAAACTGCTAGTGAAAGCAGTCAAATAGAAAACTTATCAATGAAAAAGAGGAACAAGGTAATAAATTACCATCAATATTATTGCGTCTGTTTGTCTACCTTGTTGACATTCCGTAGATACTGTCAGTAGAGCATGATGCACAATATATCCGCTACCATTTTTTCCTATACGTTTGCTCACAGCAAACAAGTGCCCAAAATTGATCGTTTAAGTTTTGTTTCAGTTTGCCGCCTTATTATTTAGTCACAGCTATAAGACGTGCTTATGAACACCAATGGGAGAATTAAGCCATAAAAATCAATTTCTATTGATGGGACCTTAGCTTTTTTCATTGCTCATAACAATAGAAGCTTTTAACACTGATTTGTCAATTCACACTTACAAGAGAAACTTTCCTGGATTCAATGAATTATGAATGAGTGATTTTGTATGGTTGTTATCCCTGGTGAAAATTCAAAGATAACAATTAAATGTGTTTGTATATGGCCCTGGATATATATGATGATATATATGAATTAGCAACAGGGAAAAGTCATGAATAGAACTAAATACACATTAAAATACACATTTTAGGGTAAATTTTCTGCATAGTATTGTGTTAATTAACAAATTTACAATCGCTTACTTTTTTTATGAATGATAAAATAGTGCAATAATGCTGATATGTCTGGCAATTTGGACATTTTTTTATATCTAGGTTCATATAAGCAGGTAAATTTAATTTCATTTGGCTGAAAGAAAAAAAATAGCAATTGATTGCCGTTTGTTACAAATACCAGATTTGTATTAATATTAGACCACATTCAGATAAACCCATCGTACTAGCTGTATTGATCCAACTCTGCGGGGGAATACATGTACACTCAGTGTAATCAGCTTAATTGTCTGACATGTCTCCGCAAGTGAGAGAGCTTCCACACATGATAGTTAATAAGCCCCTTGCTGGTTGAGAAGGTGTGTCAGACAGTTAAGCTGATTACACTGACTGCACTTAAGTGAAAATCCCTGCACAGTTGGATCGATCCAGCTAGTACGATGGGTTTATCTGAATTCTCCCTTAGAGATAAATTATTATCAATGTTTTGAACGTAAACTATTTACAGTTCAGTCAATGCATTTTTATCATACTGTCAGTATTGATTTATGAATAACTCTTTTAACATTTTTCTTCCAGCATGGCTACAACTGAGGTCTTTCGACCTTCAAATACGCCATTGCATGTGCGTCCAAAAACACAACAAGAAGGAGCATTTCAGCATGCAGACAAGCAGCATAAACGTCCAGCCACCCAGAGCGGCTATCGCTTTGGCCAGCTCAGCCACAATTCTTTCTTCACCAGACATAATCCACACCCACGGCGAGTGAGACACTTGAAAGGTGAGACACTTAAGCCCAGCTGTTGCCTTTATCTGTTGGGATTATATTCTGAATTACTTGCCTCATTAAGAGAACTAATTTTTTCTGTAGGTTGTTTAGTTTTATTTTTCATCTAAATATTTAATGAGTCATAATTTTAGTGCGTAATTAGTACTTAATGTTTGAGTTGACGTAGACCATGGAAACGTGAATGATTAAGTCCCACAGTTATTATTGTTAAATGCTTGTTTTTAGCAGAGTAATTATTCATGATCAGAAAACTAGACTTATTTAAATGTTATAACCAGTTCAAAGCAATTTCTCAGTTTAGCCTAATAGGCCAAATTATAAATGTAAACAAATTGACCTTGCAATTCCTTTACTTAAGATTTTATTAAGTCAGCCAGACAAATTCTGTTGTTGTCATGCTGTTGTTTAGAAAAGAAATCTTATCCTAATTCCATTCTAAGTTCAATTGGGAGACATATATTTGTTTATCAGATTTGATTATTCCAAATCATGAAGTATTAGCCTTATAGCCTTAATATCCCTTATTATGATAATCTATAAGGTGCCTTCTGTTGAGAAAAGTAACTGTTGCCTTGACGATTGAAAGATGTAAGATAATCAAATATGTGCTTTACCTCCAAGCATTTTACACGCTGCACTTTGAGATAAATTTGACGCTGTTTGCGGAGGCCTCGCCAAACATCTCAAGTAGCTGAGTAATTTTAACTTGGGTGACAAACGGGTAAATAGAAACTTCTAAGTCCTGACTAAAATAACAATTTCTATTTGGTTGAATTCTGCAAAATCAACATTCTATTTACTATTCCTGATCCTTGTGACATGGACCGACATTTGTGATGTAACAGGGGCTTTTTATTATGACACTTCTTGAAGAGCATTAGAAAGAAAGTATGGTAAATAATTCATTGATTCAATATAAGACTATGTACACAGGAGCAGCCAGTCTATTTATCCTTTAGATTAATGTAAGAAAAATATGTAGTGGGCTAAATGGGCAGTTGTCCTTTGTACCTGCACAATAAGCACCTGCTTTAAGTGTAAATAATACCTCTGACCGTTTCACCTGTGCTTTTAGACCCTTGAGATTCTCCTTATTAATACAGTAATAATATTTCCCCAACAAAAGGAAGCATTAGCCCTTCAACAGAGAACACTTATGTTAAAAGAAGTAAATAGCAACTCTAAAGAGATTTCTCATAAATAAGGGCTGAGTGGCAGTTTTTTATGAGAAGAACTTAAATGTGAAAATGGAATAGAATTCAAACCCAGGCATTTTATCTTACAAACTTAATAAGTTATAGAAAGGCAAATCTCTTAGAAAACATGTGAGGCTTAATGTGTCATTTGATCTGGTCTCTATGGAGGCTATCTGCTTAGCAACGAGCTGCCCAAGCCACACCTAACCTCAGACCTTTTGTGTGATACACTCTGATTGTGTTTAAAAAATGAATGAGCTGATTTTTAAACTTGATTATTGTATGTGACACAAAAAAAATTGTAAGGAATCAAATTGGGGATAATAAAGGAAATTTGTCAGTAAGCCTAAGTCCTTCACCAAAAAGAGAATTGCTTCTTTTTATATTCCCAAAGAGTAACTATGTCCATGACAAGTTATTTCCATTTTTTTCATCTGTAATTTGAATTTTTTTTTTTTTTTTTGAGGGGGGTGGGGGGTTAATTGCATAATAAAATTCACGTGGTCAAAGGTTTTCTTTCATTTTAATGTACATATGAATTTCATTTTTTTTACAGGTTTACTAGATATGCCAATCTGTTCAGTGAATGATGATGGTTTCTTTGCCAGCCCCAGATATTCTCTCTTCTACAATTCACCCAACTCTTACAATGATGCAAAGAGTATGCAGCGAGGCCTAGGGGTGACTCTCCCAGTGAATGCAATTAACGTGAACTCAACTCTTCACCCTATCAACACCATCACAGGCCTCCAACACTTTACTGGACTAAACAGTTACCCCTTTAGAGAAAAGGCTGTCCCAAAAGTAGGAATGGGTAAGTTTTATATTATTTGATAATTTTTTTTTTTTATTACTCCATTTGAAGGTTATTGTATAAAGTATGTGGGGGTAAGAGGCAGTTGATGGGCCTTTTGGCTTGAAGCTAGAATAAGTGAAAAAAATCATGACTGAACTTTAGATATAAATTTCAGCCATGAAAGCAGTTTTGAGAAAATGTTATCTCAAGCTGACTAATTATTGTTGTTACATCTTTAAGAAGAATACACAACAAAACCTTGCTATGATTGTCAAATATTATGAGGCCATAGTAACTTTTCATCTTCAAAAGAGGTTTGAAATATATTCTATGCACTTATACGATGTCCACCTGAAATGAATAAGAGTAAATGAAGCATAATTATTGTAAGGGCACTGGCTATTTGATTGAAGGAATTGAGATCAAATAAACAAACTGATTTGTTTGTTGGCAGGTTAAAAGCAACATGAAACCATATGTGTGTGCCTCATTGAATCAAATGCTGAATTTTAACTTGGCTAACCCTAAAATAAAGAAATAATATTTTTGGAATAGAGATTATTCTTTCATTGAGAACAATCATTGTAAATTTGATACCAAATGTAGTGAAGTCACATAATATTACATAAACATTGTTTTCAAAGAGCACACTGTTTAGATTATTTCAATTAGAGCCATGAACAGGTGTGATAATTGTTTGAGAATACTTTGATACTTGTAATCTGACACTTTTGCTTTGTTTGTTGGAAATCCCATCATAAATGCAAACTTTGAAATGGAAGTCCTTATGCTTTTTTAAAACCAAAGTCCATATTTTTTAATATAATGATTGTAGTGGTATGATATATGTCACCATTATTTCAAAGCTATTTCATTTTTTTTTTGTATGTCTGATTTTTATCTTTATAGAGGCATGTAAATATGGATGAAGAAAAGCACTCCTCTTCATTAACCTGTACACAGCTTTTTTAAAATTATTTTTCATTCAACTTATTTCATTGATTGATTGATTGCCTGTAGAAAATATTCTTAAAATTTGATTTTGCTATTGTTAAACAAATCATCCTTTCTTTCTTTCTTTCTTTTTTTAAGTACAATTTTGATTAATAGCACATCAAATGATGTATCTTAATAGTAAAAACATGTTAAAGAGATATGACATAATATTTGGTTTTAGTACCCCAGACAGAGGCCTGGAGGGACGAGCTTAAGATGCTGACGGAATTAGCCCAGTATAACCCATCAGAGGACAGGAGGCTGAAACCAGAGGAGAAGAAAGTGGAAGAGATGACACGACCCAAGACACAGTACTCCAGTGAAACTGGTCGCCTTATCCCTCCCCCATCCCGTGCAATGACAAGACAAGGCTCAAGACAGAACAAGAGGCAGCAATTCTTCAGTCAGTATGAACATATTGCACCTGAACCAGACATGGAAACTATGGTAAGTCACAGTGAATTGAATAATCTAATATATATATATATATATATATATATATATATATATATATATATATATATCAATTCTAGTTTTAATTTAAAATCTTGAATTGTTGTTGAAAGTCTAAGGGACCGTTCACAATTAATTTTGTCGATATAGATAATATGCACTCTACAGGGACTCTTGCTGAATGCAATCAGATGAACCCACTAACACACCTCTTGTTTCCAATGGAGTCATATAATCACCAGCTTTTCTATCTTCTACTCAACACCAGGAGGAGTGTCGGTGTGCATTAGCTGGATCGACAAAATTCATGTGAACAGTCCATAAGGTTTGAGTTAAGTTAATAAAAATTCAAATGAGAAAAAAACTGGTATTATGTTGGTTTACAAAAGTATTTTCAAAACTAATTTTCTAGAAAAAAAATAAGCCAAATGAGTTGGAAGCACTTTGTGTAGATATTCAAGTTTAAAGTTTTAAAGAAATTCAATTGCCTGTTAAACTCTCCTAGAATCCATCAACATAGAATAAAACAAAATACCCCCTGCAATATCATGCCAAATAAATTCTGGTTTCTATTATACTTTTTATTGTTAACATGGCATGTTTGATTATCGGGCTCACAATTAATTCCAAAGAATATTGTGAACTGGGCCTGTGATAAAACACATTAAGCCAGCAGTAGTCAAATCACTCATTCAAATAGATGACAAAGTGATTTCAAGCACAAAATGGCAACAGTGTGCAAACTCTCCATGTTTACTCTTATTGATTCACGGTACAGATGAACAGTGTTATAATGGAAAATAAATTGACATAAGACCACACGTAGAAGCATAGCTGAACAACTAATATTTAATAACATCTACAGCATTTGAACATATATACCTTGGGAACTTGGGATTAGGGTTGTATCAAGGCAGCAGCTTATTATTGATTCCAAATGGAAAAAAAACTTTGAACAATCTTAGAATACTTTTCAAAAGCTTTTTGAAAATAAAAATGACAGATGTGAAAATATTCATGATTGATGGTTTGTTTCTGTCATAATCATATCTATGATTCAAATTTACATGCTATAGAATAATGTGTGATGACCCAACTTTTTCTATTTAATTTTAAAACTTATACAACCAAAATAACTATTTTTATTCACACTGTTCCTAACTGAATCTTGGGTTTGATTATTGACAGATTTTAGCATTAGCTAAAGATATTAATTAATAGGGCATATTGCTCTTTTTTATGGTTGTGGAAATATTAGTTTAATGGAAATCACTTCCTATTGCCTGAAATAGTTGAAGAACTTGCCGATACTACGCACATGAGTATTCGAATAATATGCTACTTCTGTTCAAAACCACATTACATCCAAAAGTGTATAACAGTAATCTTAAAAGTTGGGGTTTGTCATCTATAGTGAGTGACAGATAAAGGACAGGTACATGTTACAGAACAATTGGTTGGTAAGAACAGATGGGAAGAGTGACACGGAGGGAGAAGAACATCCTGCAGTGTACTTAAAGTTTTTTTCTCCTCTCTCTCTCTCTCCAGGTATTCCAAATGTTGGCTCAGATTCTGCAGACTGATGATCCCAATGCTGTACAGGCATGGCTGGTATCTTCAGGAGAAAGAGGTACATCTATTTACTTATTTATTGAAAATTATTTATTGAGGGTAAAAACATTGGAAATATATGATTTATCTTCCCAAAACCCCACAGACATACATGGACCATTCAGTATATCACAATGTTGTTATTTAAGTAGAATCCTCATGTTGTATCTCCAGACATGCACACACACACATACTGTTTGCCAGTCAATTGGGATAATGTCTAAATGACACAATGATACACATTGCATGTAGTTTATCTGCTGTTACCGGTACACAGGGTTTAAGATTTGCCCTATTTCATTCCATTTGAAGTCTACGGTCTCCCAGAATCAAATATCCATTTCCTTATTTAGACAATTTTTTAACTTTTAAAAAACATGAATTTGAAAATAGCTCCATTTCCTCTTTAACATAATATTATATCTTATGACTCTCTGTTCTTCCACAGAAAAAGCCTTGGTGTTAGATATGATAAGAGCTGCTATCACATCGCGGGAAGAGTACTACAACAAAGCAGGCAATCCCCAGGAGTACGTAGAGCCTAGCAGAGTGGGAACAGCCATGGACAGAATTGCCACAGCCTCCGTGGAGAGGGTACAGACGGCCATGTTGGGAATCACCGAGGCCACACAGACTGGGGCCTCATTAGAAGGATCAGCTCAAATTATTAATAGGTGAGTTGGAGAAACTGGATGGAGATTTGTGGGCGTGGAAAGTTGTTTTTCCCATTTTTCCCATATTAAAGAACTTGGGAGGGAGGGAGGACGAAGAAGAAAGCAGGATATATCAAAATGTGTGTTATAATATGATGTTGGCAGTATACGTAATACATGAACAATATAAAACCATGCATAAAACCATGCATTCAAATACAACATGTATCTGATACCTAAAAGAGAGAGATTCACAAGTTCGTATCTTTTTCTTCCAGACTAAACCTAGAAGGTGACAAACCTGTGGAGGAGCACAGTCTAGCAGGGGACATTGATGCTGCAGGTAGCCAGGACAGGAACTGGACAGCTCGGTATTCATGGACACCAGAGAGGGAGGCCAAGAAAGCACCTGCATTTCTTCCAGAGATCAACCAGAAAGGAGGCGAAGGTAAAGATTTACTTCCATTTAACCTGAGCCTCAAATCTGATGCATGCCAGCTTTTTCATTTTCAGATCTCCATATCTGTACATATAGGCAGTTGTCATCAGTTAGAGCTCATGCACACGTGGAAATAAAATTATGAAGAAGTTGACATGCACTGGATCTGGTACTGTTACCCCTTTGTTAAAACTCATTTTAAGAAGCCAACATTCACTCAGGGTTAGTTGAATAAGTCCCCAGACAGACATAACCATCAGTGAAATAATGATGTGCTGCACTGTTTGGTTTACAGTGGGCCAGTTGCCATTACAAATTCTCTCTAAATCTTGAAAACAACTTGAATTGGCAGTTGCTCTGCTTTGTGAATAGTGCATATTACCTTTTAATGAGTGAGTTGGGTTATCCTTATGCTTAACTACATCTCTTTTTTAAATTTACAGAAGTTGTTTCTCCTGTATTCCGAGTGAAGAATTCTCCAAGAAAATCCCCAAGGAAGGAATCTCCACGTGAAGCGATGCCCCCCATCCCCAAATCACCTGTCAAGGTGGCCACTCCAAGGAGCCCAAGGAAGGACAGTCCTAAGCTCCGTTACACCACTCCAACAAAAGATGAGGCACAGGCAGCAGCAGAGAAAGCGGCAAAAATTAGGTCCATTTTGTTAGAGCAGGAACAGGCATGGCAGCAGGAGAAGTCTATACCTTGAAACCATTCAGAGTATTAAAATATTTAAGCAAACTGCAAACATAGGTTGAGAAAAGAAGAAATATGTGTACTATCCAACATATAATTTTTTTAGTGGAGGGGAACAGCATTCATAGTAATTTATAAATACTTCTTAAAGGAGGTTCACCACGTTTGTCATCCATTCAACCTTCCGTCATTTCTTAATTGTGATATTGATAGATCTTTTTGAACCAATATCATTTTTCGTGGAATGTTTTGTTGAACAAGTTTTCCACTCGACCTTCTTTTTATTTATGAAGGCTGGATGCTTCCATCAGAAATTGTACACAAATGAGGCAAGTCCAGTGGACCTCTTGCTACAATTTTGCAGTTTGAAGGTATTATTAATTATATAGATACTGGGAGTACCACCCAGAATCTCTTGATTAAGAGCAACATGTGATACCGTTTCTTCCACCCATGTTTCTATGGCATCCATGGTGGGGACTCTCCTCAAACAGAGGGTAGTGACTCTTTTCATGTCATAAAGTAAAAAGAATGAAGTTCAAATAACCAAATTTGCTCCTTAACTAAAAGCATAATATGTAATAATACTTTTACACCTATGGACTTCAGAACTTAATTTTCTCTTTTATAAAGGCTAAATTTTGGTAGCTGAAATTTTGACAAATATTATCAGATGTGCCTAAATGTCTTTGTGAAAAGACATGAACTATGGAATTAAATAACAACTTTGCAGAAAAAGAGAAACTGAACAACAATTTTGAATAGAAATGATTCGATTATTTTAGATGTTGTTATTGTTATTAAAACTGAAGTCTGCGCCTTTTATGTTTGATGTGTTAACATGTCAAGTGAACATATTTCAATCTTTGTATGGACTTCCTTATTCTACTAACCTCCTGCTATCAATCTGCAAAAGGCAGTTGTAGGTAAGCAGGGTCAAAGACAGCCAAATATTTTTATCTTAAAGATAACACTTGACTTTCAGTCTTTAGTCATTTTGCAAGAAAATGACCCCTGCAAAGCTAACAGTGTGGGATGAAATATCCAGTTCTGTATTTGGAAGTGTCATGCTGAGGTTCCCAGGTTTCTATTTTGTAAACTTATTTTGTATATTACGTCTGCATAATATAATGTTCAGGTGACCTTCATGTGAAAAAATAACCTTGCTTATTTGGTTCTGTGACTGTGTGTGTTACTTCTGGCTTAAATATGCTTATAAGTAGATAGAAAGAATGCACTGCACAATTTAAACATTAAAAACTGAAAATCAAAATTAGAAACTCACATTTTAATGTCAAAATTTTAATATTGATCATTTTTTAGTTGAATGATAAGAAAATCAGTAACATTGTATTACTAATGTGAATTATAAAATGCATGTTTTATTTATGGAGGAAAAAGAAAATTAAAGAAAAATTCATCCATTTATGCTTGCTCTCTCTTTCAGAAAATCATTTCAAAGCAAACATTAAATTAATTTAGAATTTTACAAGACTGTGAATGCAATGCTTACCTTATTTTGTTTACTGCATAAGTTCTGCAATCTAGGTGCAGGGGTTTCAAGATGCTAGCAGTCTTTGCATATGCCAAGTGTCATAATTTTCTTTCACACCTGTACCTGTTCATTGCTCAATTAGATTGTGTGATATAAGTGTACTGTGTATCTATCCATATTGTGATATATGATAAATGACTTTATATGGAATAAACTTTTCCTCACTGTATCTTTTTTTTGTATTTTGTTTTGCAAAAAAAAAGGGATATATAAAACATATTTATGACTCTATTATTCCTTTTCCCATTTCACTTATGCCCAATTCCCATAGACACCACTGGCCTACGTGGATTGACCCAACTCTGCAGGGACTCTCGATGAACTGAATGACACCTGAAGCTGAATACTGATAAGCTGGTGATTATACAAGTATGTTGGGAACAAGATGTCATAATGTTTAGCTGATTGCACTCAGCAAGTGTCCCTACAGAGTTAGTTCTAAAAACAACTAGTACAAAAGTTTTATATGAACACACCCTAACTCACAGGCCTTTATGATCGCATTCACAACGAGTTGAGCCAGGCCTTACAAATCCTGGGGACTAAATATGGTGGACGTACATGAAAGAAAAACCGCCTAATCTTTTAATAGTCTCTCCGCCTCTCACAAGCCTCCCCATGTGTCGTCCCAATGGAGCCGAGATTTAATGACTGTCCCCCCCGCAGGGACAAGGAAGTGCATGATGAGTGAGGAATATTGTTTTATTTTTTCTTTCTGGTTTAAGGGACCATTCCCAACCCCTATCATAATAACTGTGGATCTATCTATCTCAGAGGGGATTATCGCTAAATTGCAATCAACTTAAGCGGCTTAGATGTCTGGCCCTGGAGGGAGTACCATAGAGCAGTACAAAGAGAGAATTTGTTGAATTATTTCTACTTATTTTGAGTTGCTGAATTCCTAAAAGGCATGCACTTATAACCCCACATCCAGCACCACCAGTGCACATTAAAGACACATTTTGTGTATCATTACCAACTATGTGCATTCATAACAACTATATCATGTTTTCCGAAAAAACTTTATTTATAGAATGTCTTTGAAGGTAGTTGGACAAGTTTATGTTAAGAGCGTCTATATTGTGTTAGGTGAGAAATAGCAATCTCTAAAAACATCTAATTCTCAAGTATATCAACTGTCAACTTCATTGGAAACTTCTTTACTTGAACTACTTTGCTTTTCAACAGCATCATTTTGACCCAATAATTGACTATTATCTGACTGAAGTTCTAGAGAGGACGCATTACTGTCTACGCTCTCAGGGTCTTCTGTAAGCCCATCTGACTTGGCCACTGCTCCTTTTCTTTTGGGGATCACCTTGAAGAAAGCATCTTCCCAATCATGGCTTTCTGTGTACCTCAATAAAATCTCATGAACTGAAAAATCCAAGCATTAAGTCATTTTTAATGTATGTGTCAGCCAACAGATGATTACCATTTTAAAAGGATACTGTTCAAGAAAAATCAAAATTGACAATGATCTACTAAAAAGAATTCACTGGTCACAAATGGTATTACACTCACACAAAAAGCTCAAATATTAGATATTCACTAAGCGATCAAATTTGTAAAAATGCTATCAAAATTTTCTGAAAAACACTCGTGTAGATACTACCAAGAATGTATTACCATAATGTTACCATGGTAATACATTCTTGATACTACACATTCTGAATTGCACTTTATTATTACCATGGTTGATGGCGAGCACTTTCCTTGTCTTCATATCCAGGAACTCACTGATAGGTAGCTGGGCATGTTCAAGACCTTTCTCACATGCTAACTTATGGCACAATCCCTAAAACAAAGAAAACACATTGTTTAAAAAAAAAAGAACTTTGTCTGATTACATTTATCGAGAGTCTCCGTGGAGTTGGATCTATCTACGTAGAACAACAGTTAAATTAGAAATGAGCCCTATGAAAAAACTTCACTCTTTAAACATAGTGCTACATTTATGTCACTTAATTTCAATCTGGTATGGCATCTGATCCTGCCATCCCAAATAGTAAGTGACTTTTAAAGAGTCAGTATTTAGAGGGAGGCAAGATCAGATGTCACACCGAGCCAATTCAGTACTTGAACCAGGCATTCTTGTACCTTATGTACATTGTGGTCAATGAGTCCACCAATAATGTAAGCTTTGGAAGGATCCAAGTCAGTTAGAATATTCGGCGACTCGCTGGACAGATAGACCACATCTTTTCCAAATAATTCTAAATAGTCTTCAGACTTAAAGTACATCTGTTATGAAAAAAGAGAAATATGAAAAACATTATATGTCTTATTAATTCTTATCCAAACAATAAAAAATTGATGGCCACAGAAAAATCTTGCAATGTGTACATCACGCAGCAATTTCAACAAGATCCATAAAAATAAATTGAATTATGTTATACCACACTACATTATAATATATGAAAAATAAATACAAATAAAAAATGAAGTATTTTATGAAGAACTGAATATCCCTTGTAGATGTATTTATTCTTACAGAACACTTAATTTTACTTTGAGCAATCATCAACAATTTGAGCAATTATATATAAATAAAGATAATTGAGCAACTCACATCCCAGTTTTTGTAGTCTCCTATTTCATCAAATCTTTGTTTGGTTCTCCCTCCAAAATTGCAAATATAAAACTGAAAATGAAAAAATTAATTTAACATTAAAATAGGCTGCTGAAGAGAAACTGCCATAACAACCTTAATATTTTACCCTTTCAAAGCATTTCTCAAGTCAGGATTTTGAAAATTGGATGATGATCCTTATTCAATCTCTTACTGAGCCTAGGCTTCATATGCTCCAATAAAAAACAACCTGATGGAATGTCATCCAAAATCAAAATAAAGGAGTCAAAAAGCCGCTTTAGAATAAAATGGTGTAAGTGCGCTATTATAAGGATGAGGTGAGAAATATTTAGTATTTTTGAGAGCAAGGAGGAAGTGGAATTTATTTATCCAAATTTCAGAAAAAAATGACTTAGTTTTCTTATATTTTTAGCGACACCCTTTTTCATATGAAAAAAAATTGTGACTGAAATGCCATTCACTAATTTGATTTTAAAGCCTATAATTACCAATTTACTTTACAGAATAGAGTTGTTTCTACTTTTTACCTGTAGAGGCTCTTTTCCTCTCCTGTTAGCTGCATAGCAAAAATTGAGCTGCTTTACCAATGATGTTATATCCTACAAATAAAATGTGACAAAGTATTATTTTCAAATAACATGGACATGGAAAAAATTAAAATGACATCAGAATTGCATAGTGTATCTCCCTATTGTTATAATACTAAACAATATTCCAATATTTAGAAACTTCTTATTACTGTATGCTAAGAATAAAATTCATAACAATTTATTAAATATAAAATATGAACTATTGGTAACTGCCAGTACTAAGCTAGTAGAATCAAAATTCAAATTCAACTCCACTCTGTCTCAAACTGCCAATTAATTTGAAATTGTTTTTCAATTCCAAATTAAAAATGTCACAACTGAACATAATGTTGCACCTTTTCACTCATCAGATGGTCAAAGGAGCAATCAACAACCACTTTAATATCACATTTTGACTGTTTCATTTTCACTTTCTTCAGGCGCTTTCTGGACGGCCCCAAGTCTATTCCCTGTTCTCTTGCCTCAGCTCTTCTCTGCCTTTTTCTTTCTCTTTCAACAGCCCTAGACAAAAAAAAGATATTAACTGTATGAAAATGTTCTTCTGCAGCAGATTTATACAATACATATGATTTTACACTATAATCTCCATCATGTAGTAAGATCAATCAAGCCTTATAAACGAGAAAATAAATGTGGTATCTATATTTTGTATATCTAATGTTTCTATATTGTCCATTTCAAATAAAGGCACATTTTGATAAGACTGTCAAGACATACAACAAACATCTTGAAAATTGTTTGAGATAAATCACAATTCACTGAATTAAATAAAAAGTAATCTTGCTCTAGCACTTATATTAATTTTTGATGCAAATAATTAAATGTGTTAGAAAAAATTGTTTGCACATAACGTACATGGTTTGGCACTTTTCGAAATAACATGCTGGTGAAATCTAGAAAATTTGAAAAAGGGGGTTGGGGGTATTTTGCCTCAGATTTCAGCCTGTTACATGCTATGCAGGTAAGCCCTACAGTGTATATTCAACTACTGTTAGAAACTCTCAATGGCCATATATGAGATAGCAATTACAAATATATATGGCATACAGAAGTGGGGGTCGGCACTGCTCAGTATAGCTGGAATAATTTATAAGAGCCCATTTCCAGAGATTAGATCGCTCTACTTTAGATCGACCTAACTCCCTGGGGGTTCACGCTAAATAGCTGTCAGCTGGGCGGACACGAAAGTTAATTAACCCCTTACAGCTTGTAGTAGCTAGGCGGGACGGACATTTAAACCGGATTATCTGACAGTAATCTAGTGAGACTCCCCACGGGGATAGATCGATCTAAAAGCTCTGGGAATACAGCCTAAGACAAAAACATTATAAACTGGAGTATAAACCAAAACATAAGGACTTTAATTGCAAATGATGTACCACAATGTGTGATGAAGGACACAGTTTCCTCAGGATGTGGAAATACCAGCATATGTATATATTCTTGTGACAATATCACGAGTTTTTAATACACGGTTTAATGGGGCCTTGCCTACAGTTACATGCATTTTCCAACCCCTGCATGAATTCAAAGGTCTAATGCACATAACTCAAAAACAACAATAAATGTAACTTTTGTCGCGGTGTACAGCTACTGGCCGGTGCTGCAAAAACTTGTGTGTGTACGAGATATGGTTACTTCTGAGACCTTTTTTCTGCTTTCCTTTCTTCCCATCGTTCTTTCTTTTTTAATTTCTTCAGTTTTCTCTTTGACATTGGCTGAGTATCTGGTTGGTCTGGTCCACTGCTTGTGTTGGCAGTTTCATTAATAATGCTACTGTTAACACCGTCAACAGTGTTTTCAGTCGATCCACAAGTGCATGGATTCACCGTGCTACCGGCATTTTCTAGCGTTTGATATGAATTCTCATTGTCACTATTGGTATCTAAATGTGTTGCCACTTCCCTTTGTAACTCAGGGTTCGATTCGATCACTTTTCCCATCCCAACTGAAGCATTATTAGCGCTATGATCACCATCCATGCTGCAGTCACCGGCGTGTCACCGTAGTCTACCGTAGTCCTAATTCCTAGTCTCGCGTGTTTCAACGAGATTGCATAAACTTCAAGGCAGATTAGAGAAAACAAGATAATCAATATAAGTTCGAGCAAATTATATGAATAGACCAAACATTTATAACAGAGACGGTTATCTATTTCAAGTTTGAAAGACATTTTAATGTCAAAACGTCGTAGTGTGTGATTATTTAGCAAACTGGCATTTGTTAGTGTACTTTAAACCACGTGACTGCATAGTAAATACGAAACAGCTGATTGCGTGATGGCGGTGCTTTTAAATAGAGCAATTACCTCTCATAAACTTTTTGATTCTTTTTCTCCTGGGGCGGTCTTATTTACACATATGTGTCCAGTTACAGTTTTGCAGATAATATGACCCGATAATCGGCTTTATCCAGACCTAAATCGGAAGCCAAAGTAGGTCAATATCAAATTCCTTGCAGCCCCAATGTTTACTTGTGCTCTGCCACAGGAATTGAACTCTGAACTTGGGGGACTTTGTCCTCTCACATTTAGTGCAGTGCACAGATTGAACACCCGGCTAAAATTCTAAGCCAAGATGGATGTGGTTATGAAGATCATTCTAGCTTTTTGTCTTTTCTTAACAGGTGAGCAATGTTGATGCGTTTTTGGGGTATTTGGCGTTAAGTATGAAATGGAACCGTTCTGTCCACTGGACGGGAATGTTTGCTGTGTGATTGATTGCTCTGGTATCAGATAGGCAGTGGTTCTTTGTAGTGAAGTAACACATTTTATACACGTGTACTTGCTTTGCCACTCCTCCTGTATAACTTGCTTGACAAATGTGATGATTATGTTTTTTTTCCTGAACTCGGAGAACTGAGAACCCAAGACAACAGTGTTATAAAACTATTTTGATATGTCTTTGTGTGTTATTTTTGCTTTTTTATTGTAGACAAAATTTCAAGAATAATGATTATATGTATATTGAAGGTGTCATGGTATTTCATTCATTTACTCTTACTATTATACAAGTAAATTCTTAATTCTAGACTTTTTAAATAAATTAAATGATTAGAAATTTGCCGAATTAAAGCTTGAGTAGAAATGCTGTGTTATCCCCTGATAAGAAATAGAACTTTACCTGCTCATACATAAAGCATTAATGTGAGGTTTTGTACCTATATACTTGGTAACTAGATCATCCTAATCTTTTGATATAGTTTATCTTATTTCACATGCACCCACTGGTCTAATATGTTAGGGGGAATGATGAAGAGCTAAATAATTTTATACGGATGAGACAAACTTTGTTTATGTATATTACATATTAGTCCAGGGCCCATATGCAAAGAAGTGGATTATAAAGTACAAATTATTTCCAGTTTACATCATGCTTATCACCAGGAGTTTTATGAATCACATTCTGCACACCTTTAAGTCCGGTTATTTTCCAGATTAATCAATGCTATCTGAGGAAGAGATTTCTTGATCACAAACAGATTTACTATGGCTTCATTGAGAGTTTACTGGGTGTAATGAATCACAAAATTCCCTACACAATTACATCATGGAAAATTTACATGCTTAGCATAACTGCACGAACTGGGGCACATTTAAGCCACAAAGTGCAAAAATAACACTGCCAATGTTTCTCTGCAGTAGTTGCTCCGTGAAATACTAAATATTTAATTGTACTAGAATAGTTAGTCAGAAAATTGATTAGCACAATGTATGTAGGCCTACCAAAAGGGGTTCGAGGCATTCCAAACTCCTAAATGGGGTTTAATTAAGTGATTGAATATAACTGAATGGATTCAACTAAAAAACTTGCTAATAATTATGAACTTTTCCTTAGTACTTATCTTGGTTACCTTCATCTACAAATATGAGACATCTTACTGCTCTCTTTTATCTGTAATAACAATTAACTTGCTAACATTGCTTATCCATCAGCTAACACTGGCATGTGCTTTTTGTCTCTGATTTTCCTTGTTTCATCAGAGGCGGGTATTTTCTTTCTTTTGCATGTAAACCTATTGTCAAGTTCAGCTACTTCATTACCTCGCATGCCTTTAGGCCATTCATTCAGGTATGAGCCAGGGAAGAGCCACAAATACAGCTACAAGACAGTCATCCGTGTCAATGAACCAAGTGCTAGAAGCAAAGATGTGGGACTGACCCTTACCTGTACTGTCCATCTCTCTCCCCTGTGGTCAAGCACTAGTGAGCAGCTCATTCAATTAACTGTAAGTTTTATTTACTGTTATGTTTAAAGCTGTTGGATCAAACCCATAGCCAGGAGGGGGTTTGGGGGGTTCTAAAGAACCGTCCCTTTTGCAAGAAAAAAGTCCACTATGGATAAAATTTGATCTGGGTACACGAAGGTTTCCTGGTAAAATCAAAGTTCACTTTTTCAGAAAAAGACCCCCCTTTTTGAAATAGCTGGCTATGGGCTTGTGCATGGGTATTACAGCATGTTAGTTCTATGCTAAGATGACATTATGAATATTTGAGTAAATCAAAAGACAGTATTGTTTGAAAATAAAAAAGGCAAAGCTTATGATAACCAATGTGTATAGATTAGTTTAAGGAAATTATCATTATCCTTTGCTTTTCCAGTTGTCAGATGTTAAGCTCCAGGGTTTGGCGCTGACCAAACATCTGGTGGATTACAAGCAGTTATCGAGATATCCAGCAGCTTTTCAGTGGACAGATGGACAAGTAAGTTCAAATACAAAATCTTGAGAACAATAACAAAAGAGTAGTATAGACATATGTGAAGAAGAAGGCAATAAAGAATTCTTTTGAAAGATAATGATAATTGATATTTTCGCAAACACTTCTTTCCTTCCTTATAACTGCCTGTCCCAAAACTGTCATGCAAATGCCTGCTACTACTCAGTAAAGATAATTTGAGTTTTCTTTGTCACTACCAAGTTGGCAAATCAACACTGATGAAAACCCAACCTCCTTCCTTGATACCACAGCCTGTTCTTGATTCCCTTTCTGTTTTTGGCCTAAAATATGTTTTGATCATTTTCAAGTTTTTTTAAAATTGGCTAAAGCAGTTAAGTTAATGTATGTGTTAATTAATGCATATGTGCAGGTAACATATTGATCCATTAGCGGACATGAAGGAAGGTACACAAATTAAACACCCTTTCTATTACATTGCTAGGTTGGACAGTTCTTTGCAGCAGAGAAAGATTCAAATACGGTTGTCAGTTTGAAAAAAGGCATCGTAAGTTTACTGCAAGTCAAAGGACAAGCAGGTCAATTCAAAGAGGCAAGTATCTATATGTATTTTAGACCCAATTTCCAGAGATTAGATCGATCTACTTTAGATCGACCTAACTCCCTGGGGGTTCACGCTAAATAGCTGTCAGCCGAGCAGACACGAAAGTTAATTACCCCCTTACAGCTTGTAGTAGGCGGGACGGACATTTAAGCTGGATTATCTGACAGTAATCTAGTGAGACTCTCCGATAGATCGATCTAAAAGCTCTGGGAATACAGCCTGAGTAACTCTTTTCCATTGTACAAAAAATATAGTTTTCAGTTTTCATATATTAGAATTTTACTTGATTAAGTATTTAGTAAAATAATATATCTGCTTCTTTTGTTAATCAAGTCCATGTTAAATGAATGCATTCTTGAGCAGCTCGAGGGTGATTTTATTGCATTTGGTCATATCAAAACAGTGAAAAGGCTTCCAGAGGTCAAGGGCACATAACAGTTAACCACCCTCTAGCTGCTCGTGGAGGTGTGTCATTCAGTTAATTTGATTGCATTCAGTAAAAGTACCTTAAGATCTATCTACCTAGTAAAATGGTTTCCTTTGGAATGCACTTGTATTTCCCATTGTTTGCAATGTTTAATCCACATGTTTTGTCTAGACATATTTATTTTGCTGTTTCTGCATCTGCTGCTTTATTTATATGAGGCAAGTGCATATAATTTCAAACACTGTTTGCCCTTGAAAATGTTGTGGCATTGTCAACACTAATACCAAGCCAGGGGTGGATTTAGGCCGTCTTCTGGGTCTTCTGGAAGACGGTCAGATTTTCAAGTTTACATTGTCAGCCATCTAATGTTTTCGGTCGGAAGATGGGCAAAAATGGAAGATGGATCAACAAAGATAATTTGGAAGACTGTCAGAAAATATCTCTGGATCCGCCCCTGCAAGCAATTGTTTTATAATGTGGTCCAGTTGTCTGTGTCTGAGGTATATTCAGCCTGAAATTTAAAGTTTTCAGTCAGCTGGTGCATTTGAACTCAGAAAAATACCATTCATACTACTGTATTTCAAATCAAGATCACTAAATCCAAAGATGGCATCTATGGACTCACTGTTTGTCTATGTTTATTTCTAAATATTATTGTCATGAAATGTTTCTTTTTTTCTACAGGTTGATACATCTGGGGATTGTGAAGTAAAATATCAAGTAGAAGGACTCCATATTACCAAGACGAAGCAGTGCAGACCTCTGGAAATTGCAGGGGAGTACAGAAATGTTAATCAGGTGTGTAAGTTGTTTCATTTGATATCTCATTGTTACCCTTGTTGCCTGATCTTGAATTAAAGACTTAATGGGTTCACTAGACTTATTATACTATAGGTATCTATACACTGCCTAGTAATGAAGAATGGAAAACAAAAGTAGGAAAGATACTAGTATTTGGAATTCAGATGTTTAGTTCTTTGTTTTCAATGAAGCTCTTAAAATTAAATCTTTTTACTCAATAAGGCAGTAAATGTCAGAGTGACATTCTCTTGTAACATACATTATACACAGCACAAATAAGGCCATTATAATAGAAAATCAAAATTGCATTTAATTTTTATTATGACACAAGCAGTTATGGTTTGGCTATTAGAGATTACCCCCCCCCCCCCCCCAACTATACCTGGAGAAAACTTTGCCACATGATTTTCATGTGATGATGAATCATAGCCAAATAAAAGATGTCATCCAACTCCAGATTTACCCAACAAAGTCAGCTGAGCATTCAGCCACAGCAAGGTGTCACTATTGATGTTTAGCCAAATTTTCACCTCGACTGAACTTCTATCTAAATTTAGGTCAAATAAAGCTTGCCCTGAGTTTTTGGGGTCACTGTCAAATCATCTCTGTTATCAGAGTCTGCTGTTTCCAGTATCCTGGATAACCAGTGACCTCTGAAAGTCAGGGTGGTAAAACTAGTCTCACAACAATACTGCAGCCACTTGTGCTGCAGCGATTTCACAGAGGTCAAATACAGTGCAACATGGCCTGATTTATGGGAACATTTTTAGAGGTTCATTGTTGGTAAAATTGGAAGTTCGCACCATTTACGCAACTGTAGGTCTTTGGTGCTGGTCTGTTAAAGAGTTTAAGATTCTAAAGTGGAGGTTTCGTGGTTTGTCTGGCCTTTTGAGCTTTTTGCTGTAAATCATGCACCCATGCCTTCAGGTTTTCATGTGATTTTTCCTGGAAATATGTGACCTAGGAGGTGCAGGTTACTGTTACAGTTGTGGTCTACCTTAAGGAAAATGATGAGATCTGACTGGTGTTAACCAGAGATTAAACTTAAAATCCCCTCTGTCTAAAGATTAAAAATAATATGTTACAATCTTTTGAATTACAATCCTTCATAGCATATATGCCACTGATTATTGAGACAGTTTGTACAAATTGGCACATTGTGGAAACCTTCATATTACACTCCTGTTTTAGTGCATAAGAAAGATCTATTCAGGGTCTGAGACATATAGTCACAAAAGCTTTCAATAGAATTTAATCCTACTACTTAACCTCCTGTTAACCCCTGATAATTTTACAAGCTATGCAGTTGCACTAAGTAATTCTGTGCCTCACTTTACCTATTCAAAAATAGAAAAAAAACAGTTTATAGAGATATTGTGTCCTAATGTTCCAGGTCCAGAGTACCTCTGTCACCAGTAGTGTCCAGACAGACATTGACTTCAAGGATGATCTAATCCAGAGTGTTGTGACTGCAGAGAGCCATGTGGCTTCCTTGAATATACGCTCCAGTGTTGGTGGTCAGATCAAGACCAAGTTAGTTCTTACATTGTTTCTTTATGGCTATCTGCATTATTATTTTTTTTTACTTTATTATTAATTTAAATGAATTGATTTTGAAATACGTTTAATCATTTTCTTATTCCCGAAGAGTGTGTATATTGCAGTACTTAGTGTATACCGTTATTTAAAAAGTTTGCATATATCACACATAGTGTAGTTTTGAAAAAAATCAATTTTCAAGTTACTTATTAATTCTATTTTTTTGTATGTAACAGCCAAGAGTTGAAGTACATCTCATCAGATCCCTCTAAAAAGGCCACCCAAGGCACCTCTTTGGAAACCGCTCTTGATGCTCTCAATAAAGGTTGGTACATTTTATCAACCAATAGCATTGGAGAACTCATATTTCTGGATGGAATTAATAGAAAAGTTCACTTAGAACAAGAAAACTTTTGGTATATAAAATGTCTCTATAAATAAATGGACGGAGAGAAATTTTTAAACTTTTTTCTCTGTTTTAGAAGGGAACTATGGAATGTATGCCATGCTTCTTGCCACCAGCCCTGATACTCAGCAGTGTGGAGGGGAATGTGTCTCAGTAAGTGATACTGATCAGAGAAGTGTGTGTGTGTGTGAGTGTGTGCATGCGTGCGTGTGTGTGCACTGTCACCTCATCCACACATAATGTAAATATTTCTCCTGTCAGGAAATGTTTTTCATGATAAAGATATTTATTGATGATTTTCTCATTGAGACAGAGCTAGGACCATAAGAAAATTATAAGCAAAAAATTTATATTTATGGTTAACCCACAGCTATTGTTTAATTATAATTTCAGGCCACAGAACTGGTAGAAAAATACAGAGAAGAAGCTTTAAAGAGTGAAAGTCTAGCCAAGACATCATCTGCAGAAGCCTTTCTGAACCTGGTTGACAGTTTCAGAGATGTGGGTAAAAATGTCCTGCTGGATATCCTCAAGAGTGAAGACAATGCAGATGTCCTGTAAGTGGGCTGAGGCCGGTCTGTTTGCTTTTCTTAAATATGTTTTATCTGAAAGTTTAACTTAAAAAAATTTTTTTTGAGGAAAATGATAAAAAACCTAGTCAGATTTCTTGATCCATACATACGTTTTAAGATAAAAAAACATTTCTGTTGAATTAAAAACATATGAAGTTGAACAATGGCATTGATAGAAAGTGTTTCAGAAGGTTTCTGTAAAATCCATAATAGGCTCAGACACAGCCAATCTGTTTTTTGTTCATCAAAATGTGGTGTTTACTTAATGACTTATGATGTCAGTTTTCAATTCAATTCTTAATCTGATTTACCATATTCATCATTTCAAGACCTCAACTCATTGATGCTGCCGTGGCAACCCAGACCCCAGCCAGCCAAGAGGCTCTGATGGAGCTGATCAATTTTGAGGATGATTATTACACACAAAATTCTGAGAGATACTTATTTACTGTTTCCTTCTCTACCCACCCTAGTGAACAACTGCTCAAAGATTTATTAGTAAGTAATTTTTTTGTGAAAAACAAAGCTGTGACGTATTATTCAGTGCACATTTCAAAATCAAGTATTGTTTGACTTTTTTCAATGTTAATGTTTTCTTATTGAGTTTTCCTTTTTAAACATTTAAATGTTTGATGAAAAGTAATACAGTGTCTCATTTTTATTGAAAATGATAGAGGGAAGTGCAGTTAAGATAAAGTTAAGCTGACACACTATTTCCTGGGATTATTTTAATGTTATAAACTGTTTTAAATTTTTCATTACCAGGAATTATACAAAAAAGATGTACCAAGTGAAACAGTTCGAGAATCTATAGGCCTTGCCTTGGGAGCAGTTCTGAATACTTACTGCAGACAGACAGGGCAGTGGGGTTCACAGGTTTGTAGTTCATGGGGTTCTTTGGGTAAAAAAAATCCACCTTTTCAGGAAAAGTTTGTCCAGTTCTACTTTGAGTAGAAACTTAGTATTTGGTCTTGATTTTAAAAAGTAAGTAACCATAGAAAAAATTTCTTTATTACATAAAATTCCAGAGTTAAAAGTCATCAACTCCCTTCTCATTGTATTGAAAATCCACAATTTTTCTTCTAAAAAAAATTTCAGTCAAACTCTTGTAGTTTCTCTGCACATTTATGTTATATTTCATGTATGAACATTTATGAAAAAAAACTTATGAAAATATTTTTACTTCACTAACTGTCTTTGCAATTCCAATAAACAGATTTCAAAGGCCATAGAGGAAGCCATCACAACCAAACTGGCTGCGTGTGAGGACGAGGCTTGCAAGCTACGACAGCTTCGAGCATTGATGAATGCCCATCTTCCAACCACGGTGCCTATTCTGACCAAGTACGCTGAGGAAGCCAAGGAGACCATAGTGGCCATGGCAGCCCTTAAAGCATTAGGCAAAATTGACATGCAGTATATTACAAAAGAGGTATAATTCGATATATGGAAGAAATTTTTGAGATAACACTTGTGGTTAATGTATTTGATTTATAGCTTTTACAAAAACTAGCTGTATGCATCTCTCATTGTCTTAGTTCAACCTATGTTTGTTGACATATAAAGAAACTCAAATGAAGAAGAGTTGGACAAATTATTTTCACATCAGATAATACACTAGGTACAGTACTATCACAAAATCTTATAAGAAGTCCCCATTACATCGTATGACATCTCAGCATCATCCAGCTATTTGTACAAAGTCTTAACAATCATGGCAAAATAAGAAGAATCATTGTGATTTTTCTCTCTAGGTTCAAGCCGTGCTTGCTCGTATCTACCATCAAAACAATCGCGTATATGACACCACCATAAGATCTGCAGCAGTGGTCATCTTGCTTAAAAGCCATCCGTCCCCAGCACAGCTGAAAGTGATTCTGCTCTCCCTGACTGACCAGTCCCAATATGAGATGTCCACCTATGTTCTAGCTAAACTGAGAGATCTCATGAAGAACTGCCCTGAATTCAGGTGGGAATTCTAATGTTTTTTCAGCTTTACATATTCTCAGCTGTGATGGTAATTGTATTTTTGTATAGGCCTTGCTGTGAAATTTTAAAACTTAAAATTTCAATTTGTCCCCACTGTAACAACTCAAAATTACAATGAACAGCAGTATCCCTTGAAAGCTCTGAATATGTTGCTATAATACTATGATTAGTCACTATTTTAGCAACATATCCAATCATCTGAAAGAAAGATTGTGCATTGAGAATAATTTGATGATAGATAAGTATATTTGTTTATTTCAGATCATTAGTTCAGGATGTACTGAAGGATGTCAGGATCAACAACTACCAAGTGATAGCTCAGAAGGGATTGTCCAGTGCCTTCAGTAACTTCCTTGCAGGTACAGTGATACTTAGGTTGCTATATATACAGTTGTGTGGTGAAAAAGAATGGAAAAGACTCCACTTTGGTTGTAATGTGTTTACACGCACTGTACCCATTTATTTGATGTGTGCCATGACATGTTGTATCATATATTATACATACCCAGAGATGTTATTTGACTATGGCAATATACATTTTGTTCAGTTTCAGGCATATTTTATGGTAAAGTGTTAATACTTTCTCTCAGTGTTTATGTCAAATAATGCACTGTCCCCATCTCGCTACATGTATATATGCCTTGAATACGCTTCTTGCTTATGCTCGAGGTGTTCTGGCAGACATCCCTCAGGTGACAGTGTATTATCTCACACATAACATATGATATATTTTTCAGTGACCCAGGACACCAACAGCACCTATGGGTTGTATATGGAGAATTCTAAGTCGGGTATCATGAAGTCCAGTAGCATGGATGTAGATTTGATTACTAAACATCAGATATTGCCCATTTTATCTGTGAGTAGACTTGGAATGCTATATCATAGATACATTATCGAGGAACAGTGATAGACGGATCACGATCTCAAATGTCAATGATCTGTAGAGTCTGTCTAAAGATAAGCAGAAAATTTATAAGTGGAGTATCCTTAGTGAATTGTTTGAAAACGTAAATGATTTTTTATACAGAGATTTTGCTAACACAATGTTCATATATTCCTACTGATTAATACTACTATGAAAATGAAAATATTTTGCATCTGAGTATAAGGATTCACTTAAAACAAATATATCTATTATCTAAGTTAATCACAGTTAATAATCCACAAATAAGTTTTTCTGTGCTTCCGTTTTCCTCATGGCCTGATATGATTATGAAATTAAAAACTCCATGTATTTACTTGCTCCCAGTTTGGTCTGTATACCAACCACCTGGAGAGCCTGGCTGGGGATGATGGGGCAGCAGAAACCACCGCAGACACAGGAGAAGATGAAGCAGAAAAGGAGCCCACAGCTGGGATGTCCCTAGACTTGATGGATGTGGGACTGAGGCCAGTGGAGTTCTTCCGTGGTCAGGGAGGACTGATGTCGGCTGTGTGGAATGCTCCTTCCGAACCTATATCTGCATTACAGGTAGGAAAGTCTTCATCTTATTTAATTATCAGTTTTTTATTTTATTTTATTTTATTTTTATTTTTTTTTATTTTATTTTAATTTATTTTATTTTTTTTAGTGGTTATAAAGAAAAATTGTCCTATCATATATTAGTAGTTATTCTAGCACAGTTATTTCTTATTTATTCAGTTATTTCATCTACCAAGCTTACCAAGTAATGAACATTTTTGCTCAAATATTGGCCAATATTTATGCACTACATTCCTCGTAAAAATTATGCACCTGTTACATGTGAGATACTACAAGAGATAGATGTATATATTACACACTAATCTTACTTAAACCAAGGGTACATCAGTTGACCCAATATCAATGGATCTTATGATAAAAATTGATTACTTAGCTATGTATCTGTGTACTAGTTTCAATATTTGACCTCCCCACCTATTTATACTACAAGTACATAGATTTTTATTGATAGCAACAGGAATGATACACTGGTGGTATGCACTGGGTGACCTGATTTCACATTTTTGTATCAGAAGTACATAAATTGGCCGTTCTTTAAAGTGGTTCAAATTTTTTAACAATATTAATCATGCGTGACTTACAGTAAGTGCCAGGTTTTAATCAACTTTCAATCCAGTTATAGGCACACCTTAGTTAAAACATGCATGTGAAATTGGCACATAAAGTTTGAGTTTAGTAATATATATCCTTGTCCATGATGATGTTATATGTGACACGACCCATTTCCAGATAATTTCGGCCAAAGCATCGGATGGTGCTACAACTTCTTGTACTATAGAGTCCAAGGTCCAACAGTTGACTTGGTTTAATTCTATTTAGTAAACCTTATGTTAAAGGAAAAATGAAATGTGTGTTTTTATCTCCAGGGTAACATCTTAGCACAGGACCATGTGCAGAGAATCCACCTGCAGAACGGAGTTGTTCTGGAACTGCATGTACTGGGCGCGGTCTCCATTGATCTGTCAGGATCCATCAGTATTAGTTTGTGGAATAGAAATTCACATTCTGTTGTGTATAACAGGTAGGGGTATGATGGGTTTTAAAGGCAGATGTACTTGTACACTTAAAAACCAGATTTTGACTTGATGTAAATAGACTAAGACTTGAATAGACATATTTATGTCAACAGACAATCCTATAGGGCGCTTAACATAGGCGACCTTGTGGAGGTCACCTATCTGGTTGTCTTATGAGGTCAGCCTCATTTTAAGTGTATTGTGGATTCATATGCAAAAAAAGCATATTTCACAACAGACATTAGTTAAAGGACAAATGTAAATTAATTTGTCCAAGAAGCATGATACTTCATTTTGGAGCAACAGTCAAAAAATTAATAGCAAATACTGAAATTAATCAACATTTTTCAGTGGTGCTATGGTTGTGAAAACCTCCCTACAGACAAGCAGTGTTCACCTGAGGACCAGCCTGCAGTACACCACGGAGGCGTCTGCTGTCATTGAATTCACCACAGATGTCAACTTCTATGAAATGCCTTTCAAAATGTGTTTACAAATGGCACAGCCACCATTTACATACAGGTAAGTTACTTATTTAAGAATTGATTTATTTTTCATCTTATAAGTTTCTGTTATGTTTTAATGCACAATGCATATTTCAGAAGATGTCTTTTAACTTGGTTACTGTTGTCAACTTATGTTGTTTAATACAAGTATTTCTTAGATCAAGTTTATAAGATCTTTTGTTATTATTATTACCAATTTTTATGATAAAATGATGTGATGTGAGTAAATTTTTATTAATTGTATTATCTTATTTCAGTGAAAGGATAACTAAAACAGAGGGAGCTAGCATATTTCCAACAATGTATGAATCCATATATAAAAAGTTACGTAAAATGGATGGACGCTCCTTTATCCTTCACTCTCAGAATTCCAAACAGTGTGCTGTCATGGATTTAGAACAGTAGCGCCCTCAGGTGATAGTAATTAATAGAAGCTGCCAGAATGGGGTATCTGGAACCCATTTCAGAAAGTCTTGGTTAGTTAACAAAGTTTTTGCGAAGGATTTATCAAAACTTTTAGCCGACAGTGGCTTTGTGAAACTGTATCAGATGTAGCATACTTAATTCATACAAAGATAAGGCAAAAAAAAGGAAAAGACTGCATTTTGGCTATAATGTGTTCACACATACTGCACCCATTTATTGGAATTTATTAGGAAACTCAAATGACTTGTACTTCAGTGCATTTGAGAGCTTCATTCTCAGGGTGAAAGGTTCAATCTTTTTTACCCCAAACTGGAAAACTTACCTTACGAACATCACTATTTATTGTAAACTCTGTATGCAAAAATGATGTAATTTTCTTGGATCATTTCAATTCATCTAGACACTTCTGTGGAAGTTTGCTGGCTCGTCTTACTGGTTCCATGGTTTTATGAAGAAGTAGTAGCTTAATATTGTAGATTTTAGATTTGTGCGTTTCATAAATCAGGGTAAATTCATTATCATGTGGAGAACCTTGCATCTCTCAGTAATTAAACTGATCTCTATGTTATGCTGTATTTTACTGATAGTCTTCATCCAAAGTGACAATCATGTCAATTCCCATTCTAATTAGATTGCTCATCATCTGGATTAAAATAAGCAGATTTTTGTGTTGTTATGATTTCACTGATCTGTCAAATATGAAGTAAACATGGTGGGGAGCCTTAAATTTTTAAAAATCTAGTTAAGTGGTGGAATTATGTAAGCTAGTTTGAAAAGTTAATTTTTTTAAATCTAGCTCAGTAATGATAAAAGTGGATGTCATACCTTTAACAGTTAGCAAGTACATTTCCCAAGAAATTCAATAATGAAGGGATTACAGACATAATAGCGCAATGTTGCTGAAGATTGTAAGTTTTAGAAAGTAGGCTGGAACTTTTTCTGCTCATTGCAGTGTTTTACATGGGAGCAAGAGGAAAAACATTTCATATCAAAAAGCACATAAACAATGCAAGTTTCCTTGGCATATATATATATATATATAGATAGATAGGCCAATCTCTGAATCGTGGGTCCAAGATTGCCCTACAGCTATGTAGCATAGTTTATTATATGATTCAACTTTAGTTCTCATTTTAAAAGACATTTTACCACGTTTAAATCTGTTATTTAGAGTTGTTTTATCATGAAATTTTTCTGAAAGTACTTTGTCCAACATGTCTTCTTTACTTTAAAAGAACAAATGCAATATTAAACTATATTACAAGTGCCTATAGTTTTTTTTTCTTTGGTCCTTAAATCTGGTTTTTCAGTTTTGTTCTTTCTGCAAATAAAGTATACTTTGCAAGTAAACAAGTTCTTATCGGATACTGGAAACTCCATTAAATTTATTCTTTTATGCATAGCAAGTCAAAAATTTATTCTTCAAAACTCATTTTGCAATAGAAACTGCAGCTCAAGTCTTGTATAGAATTTTAATTTATGTAATCCACTGTGCATAACCATGAGCAGCAAGAAACAGTAAGCAAAACAAAACCAGAATTTCAGCAGATTTGCTTTAATAAATAACATACATATTTGTACAAAACTGAAGATTATATATGGCAAACTGAACAGAAGTGATGTTTTAATTTCATATACAGCAATGGCTCAATCTTTTCAATGGGGAAAATTCTGAGTAAAACAGGTGATGTATTTATAATATACATAGGTATGTAGAAGTTAAACACTCCCATTGAAAGTTAACAACAAAACTGAAAAGCAGGCTACCTTATTGTTCCATTCTATACAATAAAAGCACCACATATGCTACAAAGAAATATATATTTTAACTTTCAAATTGTGTTAAAAATCGATAAACTTTTACATTGAAAAGATCCAGTCATTACCATAGCTCAAATATTAACATCGTAACTTGAAAATCAAATGCAACAGATGTAATTTGCTACACAGTAAAATCATTTCTCTCTTTTCATTATTACTAATTCCTACCTACCATAAATTATGATGAACTGTCAAAAGAACTAATAAATATTCAGACAAATGGGGTCTGTACAAAAAAGTTTATTTACAAGATTAAGAGATCTTTAATTCTCCAACTGGTACTCAAGATTATTTGATATGACTGATTGAGCTATATACTAATCTACTGCCTCAATTTTAAACTCTACTCTGCTGTATACTGCAGGTAAAGCCTCCTAGGAAAAAAACCCAAGTTTTACACAAATAGTGTACAATTTTAAGGTCCTGTGTCAATTAATGTTTAAAAGGGCTATTTGATCTAATTATTTCCAATAGTCACGTATTTTCATTCACATACTATTCAAAGTTCTTTACCCTCCAGTTTTAACCTAGCCCATAACTCGGGGCTCATCTGCACTAAACAACACAATAAGATCTTAAATGAGGCACATCAACCTAATGGTAATAGGAATTACTTACAGTTCAAAATCACTACTCTTAGAAAATCAAATGTATACACCTACAGCTGGTAGTGTATCTGCCAATGCCTACTGTAATGCACAACTCCTTGAAGTCTGAAAGATCACACAACACTGAGGAATCCTGTATAATGGCCACCTTGCCAAAATGTCGTCTGCTTAAATGATTTCCAGGGAACAAGTGCAAACACAATCACACATAACACACTCTAGTTCCTGGATATAATGATATAAACTGTATCAACAAGTGTATGTATGTCTTTTCATAACTCTTGAAATTTCCAACATATACAAACAAAGTGCAGCAATAATCTTAACTGTTATCCATATAAATATATACAAACTTTAAATGATAAAGGATATAGGTATGAACTACTATAATTGACACCTCCATTTTCAAGTTGTGTAGCACCTAGATAATATTCTAGGGAAGCATACTCCTCAAATGAAAACAAGTGTTTTATATTACTGTACAGCACCAAAATATCAGTATCTTAAGTTGCCATGGCAACAACAAATATTCATATCACCTACATTATTTCCTACTGACAGCAACAACTGGTTACTGAAATGTACTTATATTGATATAGTAATAATATATTACTGTACACAAACAAATGTATCTTTGGCACAAGTGGAATGACACCTAACAATGTGTTATTTCTTACTTAGATGATTATCAAAGCACCCCTAGTTATATCATAATACTGTTGAAAATGAAAAATTTAAACATATTTGGCACAAACATACTAACACTGACAAAGAGATTCCATAAGTACTACTTTTAAGTACAGAGATGTACAAATAAATTTTTTTAACGTGTACTGAATAAATAATCTCATAAAAAACTCACAAATATCATTATCATCAATACCAGGCACTTAAAAACAACCTACCCAATATCCTTTTTAATTAAAATTTGAGAATGATTGTCCAAGTTAAC